CTATTGATTAATTATTTATTCAATATAAACATTTTAAACATTATAATATTGTTTTTTCTTATTTAGGACACCTTGATTTACAAGCTTTTTTGATTTTTTGTTTTTTTTTTTGGTTGTGAAATTATATATTTTATCAATGCATTTCTTATCTGTTTATTTAATAAACGACGAACGCTGTTGGTCATATCAACTTACATCAAGTTAAATAAATATAGAAAAGAACACATTATATTCCGACGATATTAGTAGTAACAATGCCCGATACGATCTTTACATCATTTTTCCTTTGCTCAACTACGGTTTCACATTATACTATATAGGCCTATAATTAGTAGGCCTATATGTTACATGTAAAGGTTACCTCTAAACTCTATTATTTTTTTGTTTATATTGTGTTTACCCTGCTATGCAGCAAACCTAATTTGATAATTGTATATAGGCCTACGTATACCATACGAGTGTGAGTTAGATTTGTATTCGAAGATGGTGCTGTAAATCTAATGTCATTGCTCCTGACACATCAGTAGTAATAGTAGTACAGTAGTAGTAAACTGCTGAATACTTCCTTTATTCGGGGTGGTTTCTTGATTTGTTTTCACAAATCCTTCAATTAAATTGATAATGATAATGAACAATATTACAGTAATTATATTAATAACAACAACAGCAGCAGCAGCAGCAAAAACAACAACAACTATAATTATGAAAACTTACTGTAAATGTAGTCAAGTTGTATAGCTTAGTGGTTAAGATGTATGGTATGTGTTCTACTCCCGACCCACAGTTCTGGATTTAATTCCTGTCCCAGCAGACTTTTCTCATGAATAAAAAGAATTCCAATTAGTTTTCTCACGAATAAAATAAATTCCGCTCCTAAGCCTCATAAAGAGACTTTGTTTATAAAGCATTATAACCACCATCATGCAATTCATGAGTTAATTGCTGATCAATGCAAAAGCAATAAGTAAAAAATAAATAAAGATATTACAGGTTTATTATACGAAAAATTATGTAATAATGTACACCATACTAATCAAAACAAGTATTGTATATTGCAATCAAGATCTTTATTAAAATCTTTCTTCATGAGATATATATAATTGGATATTTGCTGTACATTCAGAAATATCCATCAAAAACTGGGTGTCTACAAAATTCAGACCTCAGATTTCAGTTAAAATTTCCCTCTAAAAAAAATGGTAATTTAAAGATCTGTTAAAGATCTGAGTTTTCTAGAACTGGAAAACTCAGATCAGAGATCTGAGATCTGAGTTTTCTAGACACCCTCAAAACTCCCCCTGTTTTGAATACATAACTTACATAATCATATATAATGTTAGCATATCAAACTTGGTGGGATAATGTTTAATATTACAATAGCATCCAGTTAACTGCAGTATTTGTAATAAAACTGGAAAAATTAAATTTTCTCTTAATATAATCGGTGATAAAAGCAATCAGAACATAAAATTGCTCATTTAAATGATTAAAATAAGTCATTATTTTTTATTTCCAAAAAACCTTAAAGTAATTACCAGCCAATTTGAGAGTCTCAGTAAAGGTAATAGGAATGGCATTATTTATGCATATTTGTTAATTGATGAGACATACATTTTCTATTGAAAGCTAATAAGTAAATGAAATTGAATTTTATTGTTCAGGCTGATGATAGACTATACAGTACATCTTTAACACCATAGCACCATCATAAAAATTAATTCCAAGCAGGACGCACTGCATTGCTGTCGGAAGTTAGTGCAATAACATGAAAACATATATACAATTTTTAAAAATACAAAAACAAGAACAGTATTAGTTTTGACAGTTTTGCTAAATACAGTAAAACATTAATATTGGTTTGATTACTACAGTGAACAAGTGAGGCAGTACAAAAGATCTACAAAAGTGGAATAATGTAGCAAAAATAATGTGCGAACTAATATTAAACAGAACAAAAATTTGAAATTGTACCTAAATATCTTAATATATATAAAAAATAAAGACACAGCATTTAACCCAAGTACTACTATAACAAAGACATAAATTGTACTATACATTTAAAAGATATACTATCGGTTTCTAGCTACAAACTTGAATAATATGTAATTAGTATCATCATTTTCCATACACTAGTGGACGACTAGTGCACAAAAGAGTGATTAGGGCCTGCAGCACCCAAATGATGATGTAATAGTTTAAAAAATACAATATTTGAATTGCTGTGTATTAAATTAAGCTTTTTCACAGACAGTATATTTAATAAACAGAAGAAAAACAATAACACTATAACATGCAAAAGACTAGTAGTATTACTTCAATTGGACTACACAATGTAGTGGAACCTATCAACTACAAAATTCATCTATAAATCTAACCTTAATTCTTCCTTGCATAATAGGCAAGACTAAGCATGATTGATGTAGGGATCAACATGATCGGATGCCATTTACCTTTCTGACATGTACATATAAATTTTTGCATATTAAACATTAAGCTTTGCAACAAAGATATAAAAACATTATATTCATTATATGCATGATTTTATAAATATATATACAGTACAGTACTTGTATATCATTTGGTCCACTCATTCAGTTCTTCCTTTACTTGTTCATTTATTCACTCAAATCATATTTTAACTTAAAATTTTTGATTATGAATTTCAGTGAATGAAGGTGAACTGAGGTAGTAGCCATAACAATGGAGTAAAACAACTCTATATGTCACAACAGGCCATCCAATATTAGGTGGTAAACAAGTATTTACAACAGACAATCCAATATTAACATTGATGGCTCCTTCCCAAAGATCATATAGTATTTATTTATATATTCATTAAATAAATTTATGCATGATTAAATTGTAGAAAAAGTTGTTTGAGCTTTTTCTACGGTTTATGCATGATTAAATTGTAGAAAAAGTTCATCCTGCAATAAATTTTTGTAAAATACCAAGATTAAAATAATGTAGGCAGCTTAGGCTTTATGTGAATTTCAGTGAATGATGGTGAACTGAGGTAGTAGCCATAACAATGGAGTAAAACAACTCTATATGTCACAACAGGCCATCCAATATTAGGTGGTAAACAAGTATTTACAACAGACAATCCAATATTAACATTGATGGCTCCTTCCCAAAGATCATATAGTATTTATTTATATATTCATTAAATAAATTTATGCATGATTAAATTGTAGAAAAAGTTGTTTGAGCTTTTTCTATGGTTTATGCATGATTAAATTGTAGAAAAAGTTCATCCTGCAATAATTTTTTGTAAAATACCAAGATTAAAATAATGTAGGCAGCTTAGGCTTTATGCAAACCACACCTAAGCCTAAAAACACACACACATACAACCCCACACACACACCAACTCTCACCCATTTCGCTCCATCCCAACCACCTGGCCAGTCCATATACAAAGGTACATATTAAAAAGTGCATAATATAAAACACTCTATTCAGCTGAATACAAAATTATGTAATGCGAATTACGAATATCCCTTTGTAGTTCATTTCACAATCCAGATGATCATCCTAATGATCAAGATCATATAGTATTAGCCCCTGCTGGGCAAAATTGGCATGTTCAGGCTCACACTAGAAGGGCATTCATTGGTATGGCTCAGCCCCCTTTTGAGCAAACACCTAAATAAACCAAACCACCCCACTCCTTGCATTAAAACCATTAAATATACTGATTTAATAACGATGAAATCCACCATTTAAATATTCTTTAGTTCACGACTCACACAAGAGTTCTGTCACCGATGCCCACCAGGACCGTCTCCATGGACCCCTGGCATTGAAAGAAAACCACAGTAAAGGATTCATGGTTACGGTACAAAAGCATAGCCCTGCTAGATGAAAAGGCTTTTTTTTGGGAGGGGGGGGGGGAGGGGGGGGGGGGGGACTTAGTAGATCTTGTATATTCTTCCTTCCATTTGGTACCTCTATTACTATTATAATCACAACAATCATGATTGTGTCATTCCGATTTAAATTATAATGATTACATTAAATTCTATCCTTCACCCATCAATACATTATATCCTGTTTGTTTCACCTTAGTGTTAATCCTATCAAGCATTATCACAGTTAACTATTCGTCCTCACAGGTCCGCACTAGTCACAAACCTCCACTCTTGATCCGGATCATTCTTACAGATGACCATAGCACCGTACATTCTTCCATTCTGCATCTTGTAAGACAAACACTGACCGGAAGCTACATGATATATTCGCTGAAAATAAATGAATAACAAATTACACAATGTGATCCAGGAATAATATTTATATTTATTTATAACTTACATGTGAATTACTTTACATATCCTTAAATGAAGGAGTTATTCTTTCCCAAATTATTATCTGATTTCTTGTGGAAGTGACTGTTGAATTGGATATAGATGTGAACAAGTATGATCACTTACTTTCCCTGAGAAGTGCCATTCTTGAGATCCTCTAGTGCCGTGGCATTTCATGAGACGCGGTGGTGCAGAGCTATCAACTTCAGACATATCAAGACACAGGAGGTCTGCTAACAAGAGCTCATGGTTCTCAGATTCTGTCCATAACTAGAAAATTAGAGATGAAAATACAGAGGGAGCTGTAGATGTGTGGTTAATATTATTAATTCAAATACTGAATTCAATTTTAAGTTTTCTATTAACCTCTTATAATGTATATATTCGTTAAAGAAATAATGAAAGAACTGACAATAAAGGGATATATACCTGGCTTTTAGGCTGGAATCTAGCACATTGACGTAGAACCGCATGAGAACCCTTATCCATCACAGCGCCAGACGACTCCAAACACTGCCTGAGGCCTATGTTCATAAGCTGCAGATGAAGCGAGGAATTAAATATCAAGTAACTGATCGTTACAGTTGACGTACTGCAATTTATGTACAGTATAATATAACACTTGATTTATTATCAGTCTTAGTGTGTGCGCTTAATATTTGTCATCTATCCTATAGTTACAAGTATAATTATAAACATTCATTCTCTGGTAATTTTCTTTCATATGCAATTGAAAATCATTCATGGGCAAATGGTGTTCATTTCCTGCATCAAAGAAAGATAATTTATGACATCATGTTATTTACCAGTTTTAATTATTGCTAGTCTCAAATTATTTACCTCAATATAGTTTATACATAGTACAGGTACATAAATGAAAGTTATATTCTATGTTAAAAAGTGACAAAAATAGAGCATACACAAAGCCATGTGAAACAAATTTTGCTTGGTTTCCCATTCCCTACCAGGAAAGTTGTTCATCAGGAGTTTTTTTTTATCAAACAATGAAATTAACACGTGATGCTGGCAAATAATAAAAACTAAAATTACTCACACTCCTCTATAATATAATTTTATGATCATATATCGGCAAATCACATATATCGCTTACAGGACTTTAATACCCTGAATTGTGTGTGTACTGATTGATTAGGCTTTCGCTTATTGTGAAGTTAAGTTACATTCATATTAATTAGTCAATAAACGTAGTCATATAGAGATGTCAGTCCCAACATTATCAGGAAATGAAGTCAGCACTCTGAAAGTGCAGGTTGATATTTATTGACCACAAGCTTTTGCTGACAGCCGCTGCCAGCTTCTACATTAGGTGTGTGGTTGGCATTGACTGCCAGCAAAAGCTCATGTTGAATAAACATCTTACAGTTATTCTTAAGAGTTTATTAAATAAATTCATTGAAACATATCTTGTTACTTTTTTCTCACACCCATTTAAAAAAAAAATCTTAGGCTGAGCCCACTTGAATCTGCCTCTGCCCTTACCTGGCCCTTTTGTCTTGCTACTATTGGTTTCTTTTTTGGTCTTGCTAATTGTTTAGGGTTACTATCAGTTGGTAGTGAGAGTTCAGGATAAATATTATCCAGGTACCACTTAAATGGTCTGCATTGTAGTCGCTCTCTCAGTGCCAGCCTACTGCTGATGTCACCATATTCTATTTTACGTGCACTAGGTTTCACGTTGTAAAAATGCTCCTGAATAATAATAGTAATGATGATGATAAATACGATTTAAAATTATGATAATAATACATAAAATTATAATAATTGATTTATGTTCTTTTATAATTCTTGCACTTGGTTTAATATAGTTAGAACGTCACCTTAAATTTTGGATTTAACATTTTTTTTTTAATACATTGTCATTCAACAGACAACTAAAAGTGCTTAGTAAACCTATAAAATGGACATTTGCTGAAAAACATTTTTTTAGTGTATTCTTACTATTTTTTTACTTTATTACAAGATATTAAATATCAGTTAAAAATACCAAATTTGTTGTTATAATGCAGCATGTACTTGGCAACTTGTATAATGCTGTTATGACAGTCACACAGAAAGCTACTGACGTACAAGTCTTGCACATGAAAATGTCATTAATTAGATACATAATGAAGAATCTGATGCAACAAGGTCATATTTAGAATTGTTAGTAATTAACGAGGTGTTATGTGTACCATCCCTGTTATACAAATACACATTACAGGAATAGGTACTGACGGGTACACTGATTAATCTCAGATAAGAAAATATAATATATACTCCAAGTATTGAAATACATGAATAGGTACATCATGGTAAAATTAATTTACTGAATGAACAAGAACTATTTGAGGTGTTTTTCTTATTTCAACACATACAATATATCTTGAAGTACTAAATTCATCGCACCTTATATTCATCCATCCACACTTCAGCAACTCTGATTGAATTCTTTGTTGTTGTGTCGCCACCAGTTGGAGAGCCATATGGACGACGTTTACGAAACACATGACCGACACGAGAACAAGGTATAATTAAAAGCGTACCTCCACATTGCCATATCTAAAATTTAAAAAAAAAGTAATATGAATTAACACTTTTATAACTGTGCATATAAACAAACCTGAAATAGACAAAAAATACCCAAAAAATAAATAATAATAATAGATTCTCCAACTCAACTCATCTAAACATAGTGATACGCATCAACACAATAACCCACATTAACACACATCAGCACAGTAGCAAACATCAACACATTAACACATACCTATATTATGACAAACATCAACACATTAACACATACCTATATTATGACAAACATTAACATAGTGACATACCTCAACACAGTATAAGTCCTTAGACATATTAGCATACATCAACACAGTGACACAGATATCAACATACCTCAAAACAGGGGCACACATTAACACACATGAACAGAGACATACTGAAATATCAACGAGACTTGCATCATACCGATGCACCTTCACAAAAGTCCAAGTATATTAATATGATCTTACTCTAAATGATATTTCAAGATTTTCGCCACCCCATATATCCATACCCTCATCATAGGCACCCAACTCATAGAAATACTTCCTATCCATTGCGAATAGCCCGCCAGCCATGCTTGGTGATCTGTAAAATATAGGAAACAAACTATTAAGGAGTTGCATTTAGTTTATTGAAAAAGAACTCAAAAATACATAATACTGTAGCTTTAAAAGATAAACTAATTCTCGAAAAACAAGTTCTCGAAATCTTGAAAGCTCTGATGAGGGCAGTATAATAGAGGCAGTAGAGCAAAAAAGATCTATTAATCAATCTATTAATCAATCAGCTGAGTGTTTCTAGAGCTCCTCATGAGGGCAGCATAATAGTGGCAGTAGAGCTAAAAAAATATCTATTAATCAATCAAATATTAATTAATCAGCCTCATGAGGGCAGTATAATAGAGGCAGTAGATCTGAAAAAGATCTATTAATCAATCAGCCTAGTGTTTCTAGAACTTCTCATTGGAGCTAAAAAATGTTTGTAAAGACATGATTTGCTATTTTTGATGTTGTTGATAAGGAATACATGAAAAAATATGCAAAAAGCATTCTCACCTGACAGGTTGTATAAGGGATTTTTTATTCGAATGATCTAATCTCATGTTATCCCACTTGAAATGTAACCCCCAGTTAAAACCCCCCTTTACTAGTGGGGACGCTGTATATTCAAACGTATCTGCATTGATTATATCAATTATAGGTACTACAACCGACTTTCTGTTCTTTTTAATTTCAGTCAACAGTGGTTCCAGCCAGTTTGTATTTACCTAGGAAAAATAAGGAAGTTTTCATCAATTAGAGAACAGCAAATAAACATATTTATATTCCAAAATTATTAAATAGAAACATTAAATAGAGAAATTATTTTTGTTTTACTTTTCAGCTGTTGCTTATTCTACAGAGATCATGCAATTGTTTTCCCCCCAGCTTTTTTGCTTTTTAGTATTTTGCCTTTTAATCCATATATTTATATATAACAATCAAAATTTTCCCATTTTATTTTACCATGTCTTGATGTTTTTAAATATTGTATCCTTTTATTGTAGTCTCTGTTATTGAGTACATTTTGTATATTTTATGCCTTGTCGTTTTTATTCAGTTTTCTACCACATTTCCAGCAACCAATTTTGTGTTATACTGTACTTTTTTATGTTGTATAGAACACAAAAAAGAAAACTTGAACTTTCAATAAGTAAATTAAAGCCCTGTGTCACTATTCCTTTGTTTGGTTTTCAGGGTAGGTTACAGTTAAAGTACTTTGTCACTACTATTAGACACACATTTACCACTGGAAAACAATAACCCACAAACATTTCATGCATGGGAAAATTCGTGCATGAATAAAATTGAAAATAAAGAATTTACTTTTTTTAAACTTTATAAATCATTTGGTAGGCATTCTCTGTCTGTAAAATGAACATTTGTACATGGAATTTTGGTATTTATAATAACAGTAACCATAACTGGTTAACATTAGATCAGTGGCTTATTATACAATACATTAGCGCTAAAGGTTGATTACTATTTTAGAGCTTGGGTCAAAAATAGTGTACTGGGTAGCCATCAGAAATGTTACAGTACCTGATTCTTACCTCACAATGACTGTCTAAGAACATGAGAACATCGCCGGTTGCATTAGCGGCACCAGCCATACGTGCTCTTATCAGTCCTTCACGCTTTCTGTTATGAACAACATGTACAAGTGGAGCTAAGTTCTGGCGAACATAATCATCTAACTTACTCTTCAAATGAACTTGAAAAGACAAAACAAGAAATCTTTATTAATTAAAAAATAATATAAATTTAACAGTGAAGATAATGTTGACGATTTTGATGATGACGGCAATAAGATTTTGAGTGCAAGTAAAAAGAATCATAGCGTAATACTTAATTATTATTAAGGTTAATTAAAATATTTAATGTGTGGAATGCTCATTGTTTATTCAAATCAGAATTACTATTTAAAAAATATTATTATAAAATTGTTATATTACCATTCTTATTAATTATTAATATTCTTATAAATATTATAACAGTTATTATTATATAAGTTTCTATTGATATTTATATATATTATTACATTGTCATTATTATTACAATAGTTATTATTATATAAGTTACTTAATTATAATTATTAAAATCACTGTTAATATAAACCTGAAATTATACTCACCACTATCACTAAAATCATCAACAAGTATAATTTCTTGTAATAACAAATGTGAAGTTCGATCAAGTACGCTATATATAGTCCGTAATAATGTTGACCATGCTTCATTGAAGAAACAAATTATTATACTTGTTTTTGGCAAATTAATTGGATAACTTAATCCTGTACATCTGAAAAGAAATCAATTGCAATAAATTAGTTATAACATTAACAAGCTTAATTGTGTACTAGTATAAAATATCTTGAGTATCATAAGGCCAGGGACATACTGCAACGGTTGGCTGATAAATCTATTGTAGCTCTGCATGAGTGCTCAAAAGCATGATGCTGTCTGTTGTATTGTTAGCCATCTGAGTGATTTGTCTGACCACTGGGTTCAATTCCTGTGACTGCGTGATGTTTTATCACAACTAAAAATAACTCCATGCTTTGAGTCTGATTATGAGATGGTAAAATTTTACTGAACTCTTGTATACTAGTGTACACACTTTATCCAGTATAAAGAAGATAAAATACACAATGAAAAATGTACTAAATTAAGTCAAGGACAAGTTCTTGTCATTACAAAAGCCCATGCATGTTCAAAATACAATTTAATGCTCTCAATCTGAAAATTAAGCCACCTAAGCTTTAGATTAAAAATGTATCCCCTCAAGAATAACATGATTCTTTACTCAAGCTAAATATTTATGATTACAGAGATATTGTTTTTAATGTTAGACTAAATATCATTGTATATTTTTTTTGTATTAATTTGTTTTTATTATTTATGACAGTATCAGGTTTCTTCTTTTTCAGCTCGTTTTCTAAAGCACCTTGTGAGTGTTTCATTAAAATTGGTACAGTAAGTGTGTTATACAAATCTTATTTATTATTATTGTTTATTAAAATGCACTAAATATATTGCAAGATAAGGAGCCAAGCTTTGATTAGTATAAGCTATTTTTTATCGACTTTTTAAATGTAGACCTATGTCTTATATAAATGAAATAAATTTAAATTCAAAAATAATTATAATTCTTAAAATGTGCTATAAATATTGCTCTATTGAGATACAATAAATTATTGAGATGATCAGAAAATGACAATATTTTAACACATCAGAAATTAATGGCACAAAAATGGTAGGCCCATAGAGCTTAAAAAACATCTATTTCTATTATTCTATTACCATTTCTCTCATTGGGACTTATAGCCAGAGTATTCTTCACCTTGACTGACATATTTTTATAACTAACTTTTGAATTATTTATTGTTCATTTCAATTCAATTTATTTTTATTCAGTTCAGTTTTAATATAAAAAAAAATGAAGTTGAATTGCATGACATTTAAAAGGTTAAAAAGAAAAAGATGGAGGAAAACTAATAATTTATGGTACTTTCTACTGTATACCAGGCACCACTAACTCCAAGTTCATATTTCTTCTGTGTGTATTTGGATGGTCCAAAAAATAAATAATTATACCTTGAGTAAAGTCAAGATCCATTCTTAAGGCACCTTTTACTATTTAGATTTCTTCACATTTTTTTCTAAAAACTTCATACCCGGTATACTGATTTCTTGACATTAAAGACAACACACCCAGCAGGTAAAATCTCACACTTCATATGTATTAAATTAAAGATGCTACAACTCTTCTATATATGGCACCATTAACATAATCAAATGATAAAATATGATTCCACTTATTTACATCCACACCTTGCATTACTGAAATCAATGTTAAAATTGTTCATGTAAATCACCTTGACTATCCATCTTGAAAACTTATAAACACTGAAAAATACAAGTTCTTTAGGTACAGTTACAGTAGCTCAATTAACGCAGACAGTACACAGAGCAACAGAATGATTGATCAGGCATGAATTCAGTTGGGGGGAGAGGGGAAACACATGTGCTCCCGTGCTCCTGTTCTGCTGTTAAATTTTAAACTTGCATATATTGAAATTAGCACTACTCACTACTCTAAAAAAGTTGTCCCCCACCCTCCATTTGAAAAATTCTGGATCTGCCCCTGCTGGTAGTTATTGTAGTTGTTGACTTATTTTTCTTATTTTTTTTGAATAGAATAAGGATGACATTAAACTACATTACATTATGAATATGTGTGTCACAGGTTATGTGATGTCATAGTAAGAATAGTCAATGATGGCTTTTGTAGCTCTATAAAATTGAAGTACTATATTTAAATTATGTAAATATTTAATGTATCTTAAATTAAATGACTATATGAAAAGAATAAGAGGACAACGGATTGTAGAAATTGTTGGACGAAAACAATTGAAGCCACCGTCATCCAAGCTGTTGCCATGGTACGTATTAAGTATACAGCTGTTGGAGATCAATGAGTTAAGTGTTGGTCTAAAGCTGGCAAGATTTCTTCAAAGGTGAGGTAACTATGCTGTAAGTGCCACTGTTATATCATATGTAATGCAAGTGCTATCCTAAGTTTTAATCGTAGAGGGCGCTACATGTGTGAGGGCCATCAAGAATAAGACAACCTTTCACACTGTACAGTATTATTTGCTCTTGATTGTAAAACAGGGAATCTCATTGTTTAATAAAATGACAACTGTTGACTCTGTATCTTCATCTGTCTTGCCACGAGGTTCTTCTACAAACAAAACGAAAACACAAACAATATTTTTGAATGAAACAATGACTTTCCTAGCAAAGAAGCTTCAATAAAATTTAACACAAGTAACATTCAGTAATATAATAAGCTTGCGGTTCACATTACATAGCTCTGAAAAGAACTGTTGTTTTTGTTGAGTGTCTCAATGTTTCAATTGAGTTACTTCAAGGAGATATTCCCTTTTATTACTACTCCTTTTTGGATAATTGAGTAAATGTAATTTCCTGTTTTACATGGACAATGTATTAATCAATATCTGTACGAGCATTATATTAATTGGAATTCCAGGAATCGCTATTTATAGTGTTCAAATGGCAGAACCAATTTGCTAAATGAATAAAATAAAATTTATTCTCTTTTTCCTTTACAAACTTTTTAAATTAAATTATTAATAATTGTTATGGTTTAGTTACATTATTAATATTTTATTTTAAGTGTCTTGATTATAACCCTTTGTTGTTTACATTTTTATATCAAGTAGTATACTTGAAATGGTATAAAATGTCTCATTTTACAATGGACAATTATCCCTTTAATATTTTTGGATGACAAAACCATCTGCTAATGTGAAAATCATAATTGATTTTCAGGTTCTTTACATTGAAGGACAGAACACAATAAAAAAAAAAAGCAATACAGCATACTGATTAATCGTAATAAACTTTTATCGTAAACTCTTACAAGCCAACACATGATGACCTTTTAACCTTTCTGGAAATACTCTTTTATACTACAAAATGCGACAGGAGATGGTCTGTAAATGATAATGGAATTGTAAAACTGACAAAAACAATAATGAAACTACATTACTCTATGTTGCAGCAAACATGTTTATCAGACAAAATGTTGAAAATATGAAGACAGTGAACTGCAAAAGCAATTACAGTGTACTAAACCAGAGATGCCTCAGTATTACTAAAGCACTGTAGGTAATGAATAATTTCATCTGGTTTCAATGATGTGTCATTGGTAAAAATAAATTATTTTAAACAAAAAACATGTTTGTTTACAAAGAATTGTCTTATAATGTTTATAAAGTACAATAGCTACCTTCCATTTTTCTTGATTCATAGAGCTACAACTGACAATTCTTAATATGACATCACATAACCTGTGACACACTCATTCATAATATAATGTAAAAGTAGTGTATTTGTCTTAAATATTGAGGATTTTGTTTAATGTCATCCTTATTCTATATTCTTCCTTTCATTCTTTCTTCATTCTCCAACAAGTATTATACTACGTTTCAAATGCAAAAAGCAAACATTACAGTATATCACATCATGGCCCGTTACAGTATTCTCCTAAAGAGGTACAGAATCTTAAACAAGAAAAATTGGATGAGACACTTAAAAACTGGAACAAATAAAAAAGATAACACTGAACAGTAGTAGTCCGACAAAACAGTAAGCTCTGGGTAGTGCCAATAAGTCAACATTCTTTGTAGAAAGCCACTTGAAGCTTACTTGGACATGGAGGTATTACCTCCTTGCTTTAGACGACTTTATCTTTTGAACCCTTAGAAGTAGCATGGAAGTATTATACCTCCTTGGAAGTAGCATACTACAGTACATGACGATACGTAATCAGGCTACCAGATAAAAGGAATGTTCACTAAAAAGGGTAAACACTGTGTAGACTGTAGACGCACTTACTTCACTGCGACCTGAATACTGTACGACCTCGCTCTTTTCCAAAAGATAATTACTGTTAAACTGCAAATGTGTGCCAAAACAGTGTTAACATTTCAAACCACAATTGTTATTTGTTTACAATTTCAAGAATCACATTAAAAACCGTTGCAAACTAGTGGGCTCTTATCACTCCTGAAAATTTTCATAGGTACAGTACTTCTGCACTTTGAAATATAAACACATATTTTCAATGGGTAAACATTGTGTGAAGTAACATTATGTATTATTTCAAAATGCTGAAAAACAGCCTGAACATTAATTAATTTATAAAATACAGTACAACATTAAAAAGATAGATAATAATGGATAGCATTAAAGTTCTGTAGTTTTTGACTACAGTAATTTTTATCTCACTCCACCTTATCTTAGATCAACTTCAGATACTAATTCATTCAAGACCCTCCTTAAAACTTATCTCTTTAAATCAGTAACTCTTTTATCTTTAGGTGCAAGTGACAAATAATTTTTTTTAACAGGCGCTATACAAATTCTCAAATTTATTATTATTATATTAAAATAAATATGAATATAGCACCATGACAAAAATACAAAATCAATAAAACTTGATTTATATAATGTTTTAAGCACTGCCACTGACATTAAACATCAACATATAAATTCTAATATAAAAAAAAAAAACAGTCCCATAAATAATAAATTAAATTACAAACCAAATAGTCTAACAATAATGCACATTTGTGATACAATAATTCAAAGGTTGGATTCAGATTCAACCAGACTTTAATAGTTATTAAATTGATTATTTAAATTTAATAAAATATGTTCTATTCAAAGGAACATGAAAACAGAAATAATAAAATATAATGAATCATATGAAGAATAAAAATTTACCAAATAATAAATAATGTAGCAAGAATTTTTTTCAGGAAATATTCCACCTGGTACAGTACTATTAATCAATTTTCTGATGGTAAAATACTGTATGTCTTTTTAACTTAAATTTAAATTTTTAAATGCGTCGCGATGTACTTTACCTATTTTTAAATATAGAGTTTGTGATGAACATTTTAATGTTTCATAATGAATTTTCATTTACTTTTACAGACATGAAAAGCAAATTTCCAACCTGTATTTGTATGTTTGGACCAATAAATATCATATTATTTTCTATCAATCAATATATAAATCAACAATTAAGACATCAAAACAATTTTTTTCCCCCCAGATTTATATACCATACTATTTACTTAAATACATTACTAGCCATTTAAATGGTTTTTATTACAAAGAATGTGGGAAGAGAATATTATAGTAATGCTTTTGATAAGGAAAACATTTGCTTGTACCATGCTTGTACTGAGTTTCAATAAGTCCTTAAGCCTACAGGTAGTAAAAGGCCTACTTTCAGAGTATTAGCAATTCAAATATTGAGGTTGATTTTGTCTCAAGCTTATTAGCTCAACACTGCATAAACCTACAAGTATGCACCAGATTACATATCACAGTAACCTACAAATATTTAACTCTCTGATTACATAGTTATAAGATAATACAGCAATATTATAATTATATCATTAAAGATAGATAAAGGCTAATTATTGTAAAAAAATATTTTAATACTTAGTGATATACTGTAATATACTTCATTAGGAATAAAAACAATTATTATAGTAATAATGTACTTCATCAGGGTTTAACAAAAATATAATGTTTTCAGTTAATTTAGACTGAAAGTAATTGTGGCAAAGACAAACCATTCAATCGTCACAATTTTTAGTTATTAATAAAGAGTAAAACAGTTAACTGAAAGCTGTAAAGTGGTGAAAGAATCATTTAAATCCGATATTCCGTTGTAAAGTTACAAGAGTTTAAATATACAGCTGTTTAAAGAACAATATTTGAGAAATCAGCCTTCAAAGTTTTTGATTTTAGGCATTTCTCAGGCAGAAACCATCACCAAATCGTTAAAAATTGTTGTTTTAACATTGAAAATGAGGAAAATAACAGGATGGCATGATGTATGGATATATAAAGGTTAGTTTAGTGCAAAAAAATAGATTTTAAAAATTTTGACATTCCAGCATGTTTTGGCCATTATCTCTGAAACGGGATTAGCAACAAGTGACTGGTTTGGCTTGTCTTTGCCACAAGTAGCCAAATTGAAGTTTAATTTGCACAGAAACAACATATTATAAACAGTAAATCGAAATTCAATAACATTTTCACTAATTTGAAGTTAAAATATTTACCAAAATTTAGTTTAAGTTAGTGTGGTAAATGGCAATTTGGCAATGACAGAAACGAATTTTTACATTAATGATTATAATAAATTTAGCCTCTGAAAATATATCAGTTATTGGCAGCCATTGACTATTTTATATAATTCTCATTCTGCCCTCTGTGAGGACACGGTGTTCTATTTAATATCATAGAGCTTTCAGCTTTTTGCTTTACCCTGCATTATTTATTCATGTCCTGAATATATAATAACATTTTAAACAGAATATACTGGCCTTGGCAGTATGCGACATTTATTTGAAATGATAGGCATGTTATTCTGTGTTGTCTCCTGTGCATGTAGAGTACCTTTAAAATATCATCTTGTGGATGATAGTGCCTGATGGCTCCTCCAGCAATAAATCATTGAAATATTTTGGTTCTGCATTAATACTATAGAGCTGCTTGAATGTAGTAATGCAAAATAGGTACTGTACCTGTAGGAATTATTATTCATTATGGATTTTGTCTTTCAAAGCTCTGTCCAGACTATCAAATTTTATTTGAGAAAAAATAGTTGTATGCCCATATATAGGGCCTAGTCATGATGTTAAAACATACAGTAGTCATGATGTGATGTCATCATGACCATATTTAGGCATGTCACAAGTTTTTGTCAAATAAAATGTGATGATAGTCTGGAGAGAGCTTTAAGATTTTTTTTTACTGCATATTGCCTTTTCAATGTTGCCAAGCAACTGTACAGTAGCTTGTAACTTTAGTATCACAATGGTCTTTTCTAAGACTTTTATATAACATGAGTATGGTGACTCCAAAAATGACAAACATGAGGCCATAGTTGTGTTCCAATAAAGAACGAAACGTAGAATCAACTATGGCCTCATGTCTGTCATTTTTCTGAGTCCCCATACTCATATTTTATTTACGTACTGTATAATCAGTGGATCCTTTGGTTTGTGGAAAGACTTTTATAGTACCTGTGTTTTTACAACTATTACAATAGCAAAGATAATCTTCATAACACCAATTTGCAATCATACTTTAGTCTCCTCAACCTTTGATTACATGGCAAAGATTTGTGTAGTAGCAATACTGTACATATTACTACTAGGCTTGTGGATGGAAAGACATTGTTGTTGTTTATGAGCCAAAGTGCACATACTGTATAACTGCCTTTTCAAGTGCGGGTTTAGTCAGAAAGATGCTTAATCCATCTGACTAAATTTGAGTCAACAGCTAATAGCACTTTCTATTGTCATGATCTGACCAATTTCACTAACACTTAATCATGAAAACACAGATGATTTCATACTATTGGCCATGTTTTTTTTAATGCAGTACTGTTAAAGTAAACAAACAATAAACACACATACACTGTAGTAGTAGTACACTTGACAATCATTCAATGGAATTTGCCTTATATACCTGTAGTTCAAAAGCGTTGGATGATTATTTACACAACTAAGCTGTTGCCTTTAGCCTACATACTATGCATAATTAAATAACGCTACAGTATACTGTATAAACAATCATAAACACACTTGCAAACTCTGATTATTAATGTGCTTCTGTTCTGGTTGATGAGGTTTTCTTTTAAATAAAGTAACGACACTATCCATCAGGTTGTTGATGAGCCTTTGATGTTGATGCCAATATTAGAACTTTTGTTCATTGGTATTTGATAGGAAAATTAAACTACAAAATGTTGACATTAACCTATTGATGGTGCTTGTTCGCACACACCTGATGATAATGCTGCCATAACTTACAAATAACAGACAGAATATTAAACATCAGTACTGCTTCAGTGAATGCTGTTGTCTGCCTAGCATATTAACTGCTCATGTTTACAGTAGTAGGTGTACATTCATTATTTGGATAGTATACCTTCAGATTGGTGCAACACATTTAAAGTGAACGGTGCATCCTTACAATACATCAGAAACCTGAGTGGCTGAGATATTTTTGTAACACAATGCATTCACTTTATTTCTATCCCATCCGACAAGCAGTGGCGGAGAATCCATGTTTTTGTAGTGGTGGGAGGAAATATCTTGAATTAATTAACTAGGGTATAATAACTGTCATAATAAACCTGGCTAAGGCTCCACCCTAATCAATGTTTTCCATTTAATCATGAATACATTCAGAATTAAGTACACTGCATGCACATTTAGCTAATCTAATGGAATTGCTCAGCGGTGCGGGAAAATCAAAGACTTAAGCTCTTGAAGCCGTGAGGAAATTATCTGTTCATTGATGATAGTTTTAACCTTGAAAGGATAGAACTTCACGATGTGTAGGATCATCAGTTTACCTTTCCTTGCTTATTAACAGACATATATACCAATGGCGAATTCGGGGAAGGAGTGGGGGGCAGCCAGACCAGCATCCCCCCCCCCCAATTTTTCAAAATTATAAAATAAAAAAGGAGATAAAAGAAAATTATATTAATCTGAGAATACCATTTTTGCCATCTAGAGGTGCCATAATCATAAGTTTTCAAATTCTTGGATTTGTCACTGCATATTGTAAAATAAATTCCAATCTTTCTATAGAATCCTATACTGGCTGGTAATCAATTTAAGGATTTTCATAATGTGCATTCAGTATAGCTGCGGAAACTGGATTGCTTCAGTCAGTCTCATTGCAAGTTATTGGATCATTAGCTAAGCTGGTGATAAATAGGGCATTTTTAATCTCCAGGAGAATAAATCACATGGTCAGCTGAGAATTCATTATCTCCCACAATACTGTACTAGAATGAGACTTTACAAAAAAAGAAAAAATCTTAAACTAGAGTTTCAACCTTCTAGCATCACTGTGCAGTAGGTGTAATGGATAAATGTACTGTACTTATGCGTATTTGAGATAGAGTAACTGAAAGAAAAGTCATACTCACAGGCTATTCCTTGAATCTTTTATATCACGGTGGTTTCCAATCCTGTTACTTATAAATTCATTAAACGCATGTTTTTTGTAGCCCTCATCTCTTAACCTGCGATCCTCTTCCGTACGGATTAGCCCCAATTCACCATCTTTTAGTGGAAAGAAATTGTCTTTTTGTATATTGCCACTATCAATAATATCTTTAATATTTTTCCCTTTGACCACATCACCGGTGTCTGGGAGTATCATGTTCTTTTTCTGGAATTCTTTCCATGGCGGAATGTGAAGATGATCAGGAATATTGTATTCTTCGGGCTTCCGCCTCTTTGGGATAATCCGTAAGTGTGCACCGTGTGGATGTTTGTAATCTACATTGTTCTGATTTTCTGAGCTACTTATGTACACGTAGACGATTGTAGTTGTTATTACAGCTAACACAAATCCATTAAAGATATATTTTTTCTTGCACCGAACCATGTTTAAATCATTGCCGTTCTTGATCTCATTCTTGAAAAATAACTTTGCAAAATTGCATTACTGTATGATGGGCAATCTATAAATAGAACAATATCATTAATTTTTATATTTCCAAGTTAAAACTGCAAGGACGACAAATGGCAATAACCAAAATTAATGGCCATATTAAAACGGAAGAGCATATGCCTTTAACAGGTTATTGGAAATGGCTTCAAAGAACCTGATTACTGCAGTAGAGGACTAAATGAATGAAAATATAACAAATAAGTTCCTTAAAGAAAAATCCTTGAATAAAGGTTACATATTCCTATTTCATATCACCGTAATGGTAATAGCTATGTTTTTATCATGATTACTTCAAATCAATTGGCTAATAGCCTACTGCTGTAAAGTGATGGCATCGAACATGCTAGACAATTTCAACAGGATGACCGTGTGAACTTTAAATGATGAAGATAGAAAGGGTGTAAAAAATCAATGAACTACACAACAGTAACTTTACTATATCCTGATAAAAAATATGGCACCTCTTATCTCCAGCCCAATTAATGCATTGTCCATCATGAACTTTAACTAAAAAAAAAAAAAAAAAAAAAAAAACCTGAAAATCCAATTTAATAATTGAATATTCAATTTGCATATTTTAATAAATTATTATGGCAAGTTAGATAATACCTTTGCTGTATTCTTCAGCATAGATTCCTAAATCGGCTGGTAATGAATATTTTTTATAGTTTTTGTAGAAAAATGTAAAGTAAGGAATCCGTCCGCGCATTTTGGAAAATAAAGGCTGATTTCCGCACAGATTTTGCCAAACATAGGCTAGGCCTAGGCTAGTTCTAGATCCTGTCAAGGCCAAAAGAAAATTAAAATAAAATAAATAAAAAAATAACCTTCAAATAATATAAATGAAATGATGAAAAGGCTGTTGCTCTTTGCAAGTGGAAATGGGGCTGTGAGCAGCTCTATTTGAGGTGGATATGTGCGCCTTACAAGATGCCATTATAATTATTACCATTATTATTAATATTAATCTAATATTTGTTCTATGTGTTCTTATTTTACCCTTTTTAATAAATAAACTACTGTATTCAATGTTTTACTTTACTTTTTCCAGGTTTTTTTATTTTTTTTAAATTTTGGTAGACACTGTGACAATCAAATAATCATATAAAAAAATTGGATGCCAAAATTAGATCAAAACATTTATTTTGCAGTTATAGTAAATGTACTGAAATTTCATGCACATTTCACCAGGCTTATAGCTAGCCTATGCTAGGCCTAGGCCATTCATTAAAAGACAAATAATATAGCATACAGGCCTCGCCTTCGTAAACCTACAGTATTATATCTAGGCCTAGGCTAGGTCCTAGGATCAAGCCAATCATAGGCTAGGCCCTAAGTGTTAGCCTAGTAATAGTACTAGGCCTAGTAGTACTGTCTAGGCTAGGTCTAGTCACAAGGGACGGATAGCTACAATCAGTAGTATGCTAGGCCTAGGCCCTAGCACTACCCCCTGGGACTACTAGGCTTCTTAGGCCTCTGGGCGCTTATCTAGACCTTGTCTTATCTTAGGCTAGGCCCTAGTCTAGCTATATGCCTAAGGCTTAGGCATTTTTGGTCCATTTATTTACAATAATCTTAAAAATACAAAATGAATTACAATAGAATATACTTGAATTACTATCATAACTCCGTGCCACGTAGTGGAAATCATAAACAAAGACAAACCCCAGGCTTCCAACACTTTGTTTATGTTTCTCTGTTGCTGCTGCTCAATTAACGTGCCGTGTGTCCCTCGCGTAAAAACTTTGGTGCCGCATTCGTGCCTGGTGGTTCGATTCTCGACGAATGCGACGACAGCAGCATGCAAAAGGAAACCGAGTGACCAATCGTAGATAGAGGGCGATCCGATTATTTTCATGGCAGGTTTCATGGTTTCACCCCAGCCCACTGAGAACATCCCGGTCCCTGTATCGGTTTCCGATATGCAACGGCAAAAACACAGAAACAACCACAAAAACGCCGATAAACAATACTGTCTGCTTTAAAATCTGTAAACGTTAATTTACTTTGACAGATAAAAAAAAAAAAAACACTAATAAGCAGGCCTATTTTTCCACTGACTTCAGTTTACTACTCTGTACAAAAACCTGTAAAAATTCCATGTCTGTTAATTGGCTAGAAAATGTATTTTAGTTTTTAATGAAAACTAATGATTTCCCCTACTCAAACAAAGAAATTAAAATAAGTTTTTAAAGCTTATTTGCATATCACAGACGGTCTTCAATAGGTCTATATAATGCACCTGAGAATAGACAATAATACTTTTAAATAAATCAATATAAAAACACGTAATGTGTATACCTAGGCTTACATATAAGAATAAAATGATGATTGCATTTGATAAAACTTGAACTTGAAAAGTCAAATGCACAATATAGGCCTAACAAATATTATGATAGAGTAAACTATTCAGGGCGGATCCAGAGATGTCCAAATGGGAGGGGGTGGCGAAAGGGGCGGGGGAGAAAGTTGGGCCGGAGACAACACTCTTCTAGGGGGTTGGGGAATTCCTCCGCTAAATCCGCCCCTGTTATTATTAAATGAATTACATACTCATGGCCGATGCTTTTCAACGTTATGATTCATATTCTTAATTTTTTTTTTAAATATGTAAATAAATAAGGCTAATTGCTATATTGCATTATTATTTAAAAATTTAACCAATTCATAGCAGAACTGAACAATTTAACAATGCAATATTGAATAATGGGCCTATTATTTTATCTATTGCAAAGCAAATGAACAAATTTAGCCTAAGATTACTGTAAATGGAAATAAGAATATAGCGTACTGAAGTACGCTGGGAATTTGCGGAATTCGATTTCGTCGTCATCGTGAATGAAAGCGAGGTTATATTCTGAGATCTTTATGTAAACTGCGCCATCTTTAGTTTTGTTAAGACTTCTTCATGATAAAATCGTATTGTTAATTGCAAACATTGAATGGACGCTGAGGGGTGGGATTTAAAAGGTGTCACTACAAACTTGATTAATGTTTATGTAATGACGGAAAAATATATTCTGCACATGACAACGTAAATTTCTTTGGACATAAACTTAAAGGATATTTTAAAACGCCGCCGTACTGAAAAAAACATTTTGAGAGAAAATGGAGGTGAGATGAATTCTAGTTTTAAGATAATACATAAGCCTGTCTTAAGTGTTATGAATATGGTAATCAATATATGTTATCGTGTATATAACTAGGTCTCTCCACAAAACCTGGAATCTTATAGGGTTGAATGAATGTCCATCTAGGGACTTACATAAGAAAGTGTTTGTCCAACGATCATTAAGTACCGGTACGGTTGGCCTAATTGCTCTAAAGACTTTCGTATAATTATAGACCTACGCATTACTATTACTGTATTTATTCGAACAATTTATTGTTGAGATGTGTTTTGTGGAGGGGCGTTTATTCGAGGGAGGCACTTATTACGTCCCTTATAATTTCACTGCTGTGGAACACAACGCATAATTACCGCCAAAATGTGTTATTCCAAGATCATGAGACTTATTGATCCCAACCAGGTAGAAAAAAATGTAATTCTACTGGAGTAAATACATTACGTCTCTTATACACATCTAGATGTGTATAAGAGACAGGGGCTGGGCTGGGCCGGGCCGGGCCGGGCCGGGCTAGGCTAGGCTAGGC